AAGCCCCCTTCCAAACCCTGATCCAGGACCCAGAGTTGGGGTCTGAGCCTGGGACTGAGTATCATTTAATTGCAAATGGCAATTTACAGAGCTGGAGAGGGTAATTAAAAAACAAAAGGAAGAAACAGAATTCAGAGCCAGGAAGACTCATTTGCTGATCCTAAGGGGCTATGGAGAAAGAAATTAGACAACTGAATGGACACCTGGGAAAGGAGAAAAACAGAGAGCCCCAAGAGGAAACAAGACAGGGACCCCGGAGAAAATTTCTGAGTGAGACAGAAACATATCTAGGGCCTTGGACTGGGGGCAGGGAGGGAGTCCCTGAAGACTTCCACTGTCTAGATGCAAATGCAAGGGTTTGGGATTGAGAGCAAGCAGACTTGTTATCATCAGAGTAGAGGATGCTGAGGTGCAGAGTGGTCAGTGATGCTGCAGCTGGAGAGGGGAGAGGTGTGGCAGCCTGGAAAGGCTCCCAAAGATGCCCAGGGCCTGATCTCCGGAACCTGTGACTGTCACCTGTGAATGGCAATACTGAGTTTGCTGATGTGCTTAAGTTAAGGCTCTTGAGATAGGGAGATTATCCTGGATTATCTGCGTGGGCCCAATGTAATCCAAAGCGTCCTTATAAGAAAGAAGAAGCAAGAGGAGTTCTGGCAGACAGCCAGGTGACTCATAGATTGAAGTGACACACCTTAAAGATGGAGATGGCCAGAAACCAGGGAATAAGGGTGGCCTTGAGAAGCTGGATGGGGCAAGGAAGGAATTCTCCCCGGGAACTTTCAGAAGGAGCCACCTTATTGATACCTTGAGTTTAGCCCATTGACACTGTGCTTGAACCTCTGGCCCCCAGAATAGTCAGGGAATAAACTGACGTTTTAAGCCACCAAGTTTGTGATCTGTTATCACAGCCCAAGGAAACTAATGCCAGGAGTGAGGTCACGTTCATGTTGAGAAGGCAGCAAAGGGTTCGTGAGCAGCTTCAAGCTGAAGAGTCTCATGATTAAGTGGCATTTTCAGAAGGTAACAGTATGATGTGGAGTGGACTAGAGTGGCAGGAGACTGAAAAAAAGGAGACACGTGAGGATGCCACTTCAGCTTTTCTTATGAGAGCTGATACTATAAGCTCATACAACTTCGAGAAATGGGCAGGAGGAGATACCTGTTGAGGAAGTATTTGGGTGGTAAGAAGAATAGAACTTTGTAAATGAGTGAATGTGGAGGATGGAAGAGAGCATATAGAAGGAATCCTCACTTTGCATTTTGACCCATCAGTGTAATGCACAAATCTACTAGTGGGTACAGAGAAGAGATGGTGACCACTGAGGTCCCTACAGAATATCCAGGTAGGAATGCTCAACACTCAAGGGCAAACAAGGTTTTGAAATCTCAGAGATGTAGGCTAAGGTAGGCACAGAAGAGAATCACCCAGCAACGGTGAAGAAGAGATGAACATTAAACATGAAATTCTGGAAAATGAGCAAGATGCCAATAATATCTTTAGAGGAAGAAGGGGATAAAAAGACTAAGAAATAAAGGCCAAAGATTTATGAAGAGAATCTAGAGGGAACAGAATCAGGGATTCCAATGGAAGAGAGAATTTTCAAGATGCCAGACCTGGTCAAGAGGGACAAATTCTTCAGTTGACATACATAAAATGATTATTGAATAGAAAAGGGAACCTCTGATTAAAAAGCCCTTGATTTGAGGGGGGAGATGGGCATGGAGGAGGGCACTTGTGGGGATGAGCACTGGATGTTATATGGAAACCAACTTGACAATAAATTATTTGTAAAAAAAAAAAAAAAAAGAAGAAGAAGCCCTTGATTTCCTTCTCCACTATTTCTGTAGGGTGACAGGGGTTGAAAGCAAATAATAATCTGAAGAGTAAAAAAGAAGCTGAGGAAGAAGAGAAAAGATATATAAACTACTCATGTAACAAGTCTGATGGCAGCATGTTGAAAGGAAACAGTGGTGGAAGAGTCACATGTTTATAAAAATATTATTTGGGGGGAAGATATAAGGTTGGGGAAGGGATAATTCAGTGGTTGAAAGGTTGTAGAGATTAAAGATGAAGAGGCTATTGAAGGAGTAAGGTCTAAGAGGAAGCGGAGAGGGAGGGATGGGAGCCTGTGTACAGGTGGGGAGGTCAATCTGAAGAGGAAGGAACTCATTACATTTTCTGAAGCACGAGGGCAAAGAACAATGGGAGGAGATATAAGTTAGTTTAGAAGTGGAGAGAGGGGAGGCCAGTTTGATAGTCCTTATTTGCTCTGTAAAGAAAAAAAAAATTAGGATAGGCTAATCTTGGACCATGAGAGATGGGAGTTTATTTTTCATAAATTTCAGTCAGACTTATCGAAAGACAGATATTCCTAAATACTGGTACGGCCACACCACGTAGTGGTAGTATGACAAATAGGAGGTACATGATGAATGGAAGGCTGCCTTCTGAGGATCTGGCCAAAAATATCCATCTGTGAGTTTCCATCAGTGAGGCAGAACTAGAGCACTTTGCATGTCTATAATAAAACCCACTTGGAAAGCTGGTGCATCAGAAGCGCTTTTCCTACGATTGCCAGTCTCGCCACCACCGCTATCACCACCACCACCACCACCATAATCGCCACCATCACCACGAACAATCACCACAGTCAACAACTGTTGGGGACTTACCCACAGAGCGCCTGGCTCTGTGTCAGACCCTGGGGATTTAAGGTTGAATAAGGCATGACATCTACCTTTGAGAAACTGTGTAGTGATTTGTACAGAGAAGAGGACAATCTTTATTCTAGGGTCTGACCTTTGAAAGCTGCTCAATAAAGAGGAATGTATAAGGATCCATACACGCTTGGAGCTAGAAGGAACCACAGAGGGCATTATAGGGGAGGTCAGGCCAGTTAACTGACTAAGTAAATGTCACCTGACTAAGTCTAGAGACCCAACCCTTAAGTCCTGTGCATTTTCCATTTCATTTCGTCCCTAATAAATCTCCTTTCCTATTCAATCTGTGAGCAGTTTTAGGCATCTGATTACAGGTGCAAAAGTAAACAACAGAGAAATCATTTTCACTAGAAGGTTTTGAAAGTTAGAGTGGGCAAGAGCATATAATCAAAGGACTCAAGTCCCAGAAGATGTCACTTTTATGTCACGGTAGGTACAGCCCTCTGGAAACACTCATCACCCCTAGAGTATAAATCCCATTCCGGAGCAACCCTCTCAGAGTGCAGAAAAATGGAAGAAATTCTTCCTTCGTTTTATGTATTTATAAGTCTTCATCAGGAGCATCCTTCTTTTGGAAGAAAAGGAAATTAGTGCCTATGGAGGAGAAAAATATTTAAGAGTAGTAAGCAGACCAAACAATAAAAGAGATAAACTTTATGACTTAGAGGTAAGACTTGGGAGCAGGGTGGTATACATGGATAATTGAGAGCTATCAAAATAGACGTACTAAACTGTTTGAATATCTTCTAAGACCAGTAACAGGAAAGGTGTTGTATACATAATACTTATGAGAACTAAAGTCACAGTTGGACTGTGACAAAATGAACTTGAGAATGGCTCAACATCAAGATGGGAAGCCATAGGGCCAAGGTCATGGATACACTTCCCTCCTGGGCTCAGTGTTTAACTTCAAGGACACTGCAGGGCTCGGGGTAGAAGCAAAGAATAGAACCAGGAGTTCGGGGGAATGTCAGACTCATTTCCCTATAGTCCCAGAAACTGGCCATCCATGAACCACTGGCAAACGGAAACAGGGGAGGAATTAGCCTCTTGGTTCAATCAGTAGGCTCTGGCAAAGAAATGTAAGAAAACTTTGCCAGCTGGAACTGGTCTTATCTACATTTGCTTACATGACACTCCTTTCTTGGCAAATTAGAAACAATATTAGGAGACTGAAGTTTGAAAAGATACTAGAAGCCTGTGATTATGTCCTTGGGTTTAGAGGAATCGGGGCTTGGAGGGAAATGCCTGCAACAACTGGGAGCCCAGACACAAGCCTCTTACTGCTTCTGGAAGTAAAGGACCAGCCGGAAGAGAGGCCTTCATGCCTCTGCTATCTAGTGAGTGGAGCAAAACAGCTCAGGGAGTCAAGAGCATCTCAGCCATGGGGGTACTTTTCCCCAGTCCAGTGCTGCTGACACAGAGGGCCCCTTATTTGAGAGGGCCTCTTGATCACTAAATCTTAGGATGACTCACTTCTTGAGTTTCCATTGTGCTAATTTCATTACTTGCCCTTTAGCAACTCACACATTTATAACTCAGCCTCATCAGCATGCCATGAGGGTAAGCGCAGAAGAAATTCCATGAATGGCAATTCTACATCAGTCTTGGTTGATCAGAATACATATTTGCCAGCCAGTACTCCTCCCATACCAGAAGGTGAATTCAAAAGGTCTGAATAACTCCAATTTCTTATACTTACTTGGACTGAATACTAACTGACTATCCAAGAGTGGACAAGGATTTATTTATAAGGCTGCTGTCCAGAGCTGTATAAACACTTGAGCCAATGGAGATTTCCTCTTAGAACAACTCAGTGGGGAAAATGGGCCTACAGATAGGGCAGGATGGGGTGAGAAGAGGGTTATGCCATGGTTAATGGAAGGGGTTGCCAGCCAGTGGAGGGTGGAGGAAGTGTTGCTGGAGGCAAGCAGTAGTGCTGGAGACTTTGATACTCTCTTGCTCCTCTCACATTCTGTGAGAACAGTTGAGTATTTTACCCTTGCTATGATAGCAGAATGCATGGGGACTGGTAAATACCCTTAGTGGACTCTCTCCATGGTAACTCAAGCAGTGACCATACAGTTTTGACCCCATCCTATATCTAAAGCTTTCCCAAACACCCCAACTCTGGCAATTTTAAGGATGGGCATAGAGCATTGAGACAGCATCTGAATTCGTTCTTTGCCAACAGACTCCGTTATTTTGGTCCCATGATTTGCACCTAGACAGCCGCACCTGCATAGGGTATAGGATATGCTGATGAGCACATCACTCACCTTTGCTGATGTCTTCATATTCCAGCCAGAGTCGTCGCTGGACCTGCTTGTTTGGGTACCAGATGGAACAGGACTCCTCAAAGCCGTAGATAGCTTCCTGGATGTAGTGGTTGCCAAACTGGTCCAGTAAGGCCACAAAATCCCCACGAGATGTAGCCCCATCCAGGGAATGGAGAGCGTTGCTGAGGGCTACAGGGAAATATCACCCAAAAGTAAAAGTGAGCACTCACAAGGTGGGGGGTATCTGGATTCCCGGGCCATGCAGCCTCCACAGAGGAAGGGCCTTTGTGGCCCAAAGTGATGTTGGAGGGTTGGCTGGACCTATCAGGGGAACGTCTCTAGTTACCTACATCAGACGTTTTAGTTCCTAAATAAGTATCTTTTCAAGCCAGTTGGTGATGTTAACTTCGTGCAGGCAGTACACTGCCAAATCTAACCCCCTGCTTAAGTCAATCTTCAGTTTTCTTTTTTAGATCACAAGTCATGACATCAAATTAATTTAGTGAGCTCAAATAATAGCAATAAAAAAAAAAGAATAGCATAGTCTAAAATAGAAACACAAATACCAGCAAAGAACATTTCATCTTGTAAGATGATGCACTGCTTCATGAAACTTCTTTTGTGTGTATGTGGGAGTGTGCATATGTACAAGGTCACAGTGTAAAACTGTATTCTAACTGTGGGTAATGACCAAAGAGTTTTTGGAGACAGAATATTGCCTCCTGACACAGACACTGGTAATGGGAAGATCATGGAAGAAAAGGAGTAGGAAAAGTCCCTGATATACTATTTATATTTATGTCCAAAAATCAAAGGTACACAAACAGGGAAATAGCAAATGGAGGAAAGGATCTGTGTCTCCCACTACCACCCTCCTCCCCAGCCAAAACTCCATAGATCTGTTTTCCCTGTTTAGGGGAATTACACCTGTCAGAAGGATAGCCCATAACAAAATCTCCAAACCCAATATCTTCTAAATCTGGCCAGCTTTAGTCTGCCTGCCTTTGTACACACCTGTGTCCTATCACGACAAGATAGAGCCCAGCCCCGGCTTGAGACCCTCAGTGCAGAAATCCACATCACCTGTGATGCCACGTGTGGCTTTGAAAGGCCTGTGGCAACAGAGATGTCCCCCTGTTAACCCCTGATGTGCACAGCACCTTTGCTGGGTGCAAACTCAGCCTGTGAACAGGACAGAGCCTCTAGTGCTACATTTTCCTAGAATGAAGTTCTTTCAAGGGTTTTCTGTACCAGTAGAGTTTACTTCAGGAGATTCCCCATCCCAATCCCCTCCTGCCAAGAACTCTTTCATGTTAAAATAAACAATCTGCACTCCCTTGTGTCCTATGGGCATGTTCTATATCCTTAATGCAATTCTTTCCCTAGGCATAAAACTTTACTTCCGTGAGGATATGGCTTACTTCCTCTTTATGATTCTCTATCTGTCCCCTGCCTTTTATGTCTCTTCTGTTGGCCCCAAGGCTCTGCATCCCTGTTGGTGACCCGAAGGTCCCTCTTGTCATCCTGTGCCAACAATGTCACCTGGTTCTAGTTACCTCGTCACCCAACATAGAGAAACAAGACCCTATGGTATAAACTTCACATCTGGGATGTTCTTTAGGTAGTTTCAGAGGAAGAAGTTGAGTAATGTTCTGGTCCAAGGGGATGATGTGGAATGGTGATGCGTACCTATATTAAGGCCTTATTTGCAGCAGTTTTCCCACCTGAAAATTGCACAAAGAGCTTAAGGGCTGGGAAAAACTTGACCTCAGGGCATTTACTGCTAAAATGTAGAGAACACTTGTACAAGGCACCTCACTGTTCCCATCTGGCTCAATTTGTCCAAAGTGTTGGAATTTGCTACTCCTTAACATATTAGATAGCTCTCTCTCTTATCTATCATCTGTCCATCTATCTTTTGCTCACTTGCTATTATTTGGTGACCATAAAAGCTGTTTTTTTAATCCCCTCCCCCACATCCTCCTCTTTCTTGCTCTTTTTCCCTTATTTCTTTCATTGTCTGAAAACTCTAGGCTATGTTCTTTGCATTTGATTGGTTTTAGTCTGTCAATTTCTAAAAAGTCTGCTTTTGCATATCCTCTCTCTGTGCCTTGTGACCCCAGGAAGAATGATAAAGTAGGTATTTATCTTCAGTGGTTACTGCCTTGCCCTTCCCGTCTCTTCTTCAGTCCATGATAAAACCTGTAAGAATTTAATCTATACTTAGACAAGGCTCTGATTTCAGGGGCTTGCCCTTAAGGGTGAATCTGAGTGAATAGGTTATGTATCTCCCTGAAGTGGCTGCATTTCAGACTGCTTCTTCAACAATGGGATAAAACGCTTGTGCCCTTGGATTCCAAGCCCCAGGAGCGAGGGGGATGGATGGCTTGCTGTGGTGCTCACCCTGAGAGACGGCCACTTGGTTGAGTTTGATGTGGTACATCACAGACCGGACCTTCCAGTGCTGCAGCACGGGGTATCCAGACACCTCACTGAAGTTCACCATCCCTAGGGGCAGAGGAGACGCAGGCTCAGTGCGTGTGATCGATTCACAGGTCCCAAGTCTACTAGGTTAGCAGGCGTCATTGTGAGAGAATGAATAGCAAGCATTCTTTGAGGGAGAGAATTCCTGGAATCACAGTGACAAGAGCTATCATTTACTGAACCCTTGCTCTGAAGCAGACATTTTGCTAAGCCCTCTGCATATATAAAGTCACTAGATCATTATGAAACAGGTGTTATTATCTGCATTTTATAAACGCAGAAACGGTGGGGCACCTGGGTGGCTCAGTTGGTTAAGCGTCCAACTTTGGCTCAGGTCATGATCTCACAGTTTGTGGGTTCGAGCCCTGCGTCGGGCTTTGTGCTGACAGCTCAGAGCCTGGAGCCTGCTTCAGATTCTGTGTCTCCCTCTCTCTCTGACCCTCCCCTGCTCACGCTTTCTTTCTCTCAGAAATAAATAAAACATTTAAAAAAATTAAAAAAAATAAAATGCAGAAAGGGAGGCTCAGAGACGGTGTCTGCATAAGGGCCCTAGGCCACCAGCTAGAGCCAAGGTGAAGTTCCAGATGTATCTGAGACAAGGAGGTGTTCTTAACCATTCTTCTTTTTTTTTTTTAATGTTTATTTTTGAGAGAGGGAGAGAGAGACAGAGCACAAATGGGGGAGGGGCAGAGAGAGAGAGAGAGACAGAATCCAAAGCAGGCTCCAGGCTCTGAGCTGTCAGCACAGAGCCCGACACAGAGGTCAAACTCGAGAACCATGAGGTCAGGATCGGAGCCAATGTTAGATGCCCAACCGACTGAGCCATCCAGGTGCCCCTGATCTTAACCATTCTACTACAATATTCCCCGAGTAAATTTATATGAAACTCTAGGCTTACAGTAACACACTAAATTTTTAGTCTCTTTAATAGCTGCAGTAATTGACTCAGCTCACGTACTTGATAACATTGATTTTTCTGTCCCATTTAACTGATTTGTGTTCAGTATTTAAGTTTTAATTACTCTGAAGCTGATAATGCTTATTTCTTCTTCACCAAGAGGGACAGGGTCAGTGTGACTAAGTCATTAAGGGGCAGGGTGGCCCTGTATTGAGTGCCATCTGTCTGCCAGGCACTATGACAGACACTTTATTTGTGCTCCCTCCTTTACCAATGGGAGAACTGAGGCTCTAAGAAGCCAAGTCCAAAGTCATTCTCAATAAGCACATCCTTTTAGGTGCTTAGAGATGCTAAAATAGGCTGTTCTTGCTTGAACACCTTGGAGAAGGAGGGGCACCCCATTTGAATTCCAGTCATTATGATAAATATAAAATGCTACAGAAACAAAATAATTATGCCTTAAGAAATTTAAAAAAAAAACACCATGCTAAGTTTAGAAAACCAATTTTAGCTTCATTTCTATGCCTAATATTTGCTATGTGTGTAAGTTATAGGAATAAATATACATGTGTATGCATATGTGCTATGTGCATATATATGTATGTACATAAATATAATGGCAATATGTACAGAAAATGTAGATAGTGTGCATAAATATAGTATGTATAAATGTAATGGTAATAATACATACATGGTGAATTATCCTGCCATGTTGACCCATGCTTCCTTGAGGCTAAATCAACTAATTTAATACATAAACTGGATGAAGAGGGGGCGGGATTAATTAGCTGCTTGTCAACTCTGATCAAATTAGCTGAGTAACTGCCAAATTTCCATTTCTGTGTGAATCATACAAGAATAATTATTGGTGAGGCAAAAAGAAAAAAGGTCAGAAGGGGTACTTAATGAATCAATTGCTTAAATTTCAGCTCTGGCAATCAAAGAGAAGTTGCTTGAAACTGAAAGAAGGTTTTCTGTACTTTTTTTTTCTTTCAAATGTTCTTCTTTTAGGGCATTAAGCTTGGTGACAACAGTTATACTCTGGCTTTTAACCTTTACGTTATTTTATTTTTTAAAGTTTATTTATTTATTTTGAGAGAGACAGAGACAGTATGAGCAGAAGAGGGGCACAGAGAGAGGGAGAGAGAGGATCTCAAGTAGGCTCCATGCTGTTAGCGGGGATCGAACCCACGAAGCCTTGAGATCATCACCTGAACCGAAACCAAGAGTTGGATGCTTACCCGACAGAGACACCCAGGCGCCCCCCCCTTATGTTAATTTTAAAAGCATATAAATGAAATTCTAACTTTACAGGATTAACACCCCAGTCACATACCTCAAAGGCACATTTCAGTAGAGTACTGAAAGAGAGACAAAGCATAAGTGGAGGAGGGGCAGAGAGAGAGGGAGACACTGAATCTGAAGCAGGCTCCAGGTTCTGAGCTGTCAGCACAGAACCCAATGGAGGGCTTGCACTCAAGAGCCATGAGATCATGACCTGAGCTGAAGTCAGGCGCTCAATCCACTGAGCCACCCAGGTGCCCTGTGATGAAGAGGGAAGCATTCAGCAAGATAAAGCACAAAAATCAGTGTTTTCTAGTATGTTCTTCCAACTAATAATTATGAGAGATGGAAATGGCTATTAGGTGTAAAAGATTCTCTAGTTAAACAGGTTTGGGAATTGCTGGGTTAAGTGAGGTAGAAGGGATTTCGTTGCTACAGGGCTTCTTGGGACCTCTCTATGCTCAGGAGTTGCAAATTGCTGAGAGGTAGATACTATATAGCCTTTCCAAACAGTATGTAAAGGAAGAACCTATTTATGTGTAGAGTGCTGGTTTTTCATGAAAAACCACCACCATGCTTGTAAATGCTGATATTGAAGCTTCTGGCTATCACTTCCCTTCTAAAATCTCCCCAGCTTGTAGGTTTATGGGAATTATAATCTATAATAGCACCTAGGGCAACAGGACATGATATTCTCTATGTGACTCTCAGGAAAGATAGAATTAAGAAGTCACCAAAACTAGAAAGTTAATATAGGAGACATTTGGTCAACCATCTCTTGAATTCTTCTAGTCATTTTGGGCTTTTAAAAAAGTAAGACTGAACCTTTGCACAACTAATGTTAGACTTCACTCTCTCAAGGCCATGACCAATGTAAATGATCTATACAGACATCCTTCCCTTCCTGTTATGTCCAATATGCCAAATTAGGAGAGGTCCAATGGCACAGAAGAGAAGGAAGTTTCTGTTGTGGTTGAGGACTGGGTTTGGGTTTATTCCTTATTCCCAAAGACGTAGAGGCAAATGTATTCTCTGATGTTTCTCAGATCTCTCTACCCACCCCTCCAAAAGTGCCTCAGATGGCATCCAGGACTCCTCTGTGTCCTCCTGGTCCAGTGACTGAAGCAGAGTCCCCTCACCTCCACAGTAAACTACTACCTGTGAGGTCTCAGTGGATGTTTAAACAGGAGACATTCTTTGATGTGGAACCTGTCCAGTTTGTGTGTGTACACCTCCCTTCCCATGCATTTTACACACACACACACACACACACACACACACAAACACACACACACACACGGAAGTATTGCTCAGCAAATGACATGGAGATGAGAAAACCAGACTGCCTACCACTAGAGATGGAAGCACCAGGTATATTCTACAAACTTTACAAATACGAATTTATTTATTCCTTATTCTATGGGAAGACATTTTTATATTCATTTTCACAGGTAAAAATATCGAGGCAGAGAAGGTAGGCAATTTGTCCAAGATCATACAGCCAGGGAAGGGTGGAGCTCAGCTAACAGGCTCCAGAGACTATGCTATTAATTACTACGCAATACACCCTCAGACAGATGCACTTCTAATCTGGTTCAGGTCTTAAATAAAGTTTTGAACATAAGGTCATGAACTTGATATCCTGAAAAGTTTTGCCCTCCGCACAACCCATTCTTCAGGAAAGGGAAGGAAAAGGGAAGAAAGGTATAAGATGGGGGAGACACAGAACAAGGAAGGGAGAAGAAGAATGGAGAAATGAGCACAGCAGTAGTGTGACTAAACTCACATCCAGCTTTATAGTAACTGACGTTGAGTTCCTGGTCGGCTGTCCCTTACGGGTCCATTGGACCTTTTGAAGTGTCTTCTTCAGTCCAGGAGGTTCCAACAGGGGAGGACTCCAAAGGCCCAAAATGGAGGCACATTCCCTGAGGTTCCTGACTCTTCCAATCAACCCATACTTTAGCTCCATAATGAGCCCAGGGGAAGAATGCCAGAGGGCTCAAAATGGCATTGAGGGCCATCATCTACAACTTATGATGAGACCCATGAGCCCCCAAGAGACTGACTGCACTGTCTAAAGTCACACAGCTAGAGAGAAGCAAAGCTGTGACTCAAAGCCAGGGTCATTTGACAATAAAACTCTACCATTTTCTCCTCCCTCATGCTGGTCCATAAGTACCTGCCAGGGAACCCAGTAGTCCCAGTGACAGACATCTAGGCTTTGCTAGCCATCCACCTTCTCTCTGACTTCACTGTCTCAAATCCACCAAGACCTCTGAACTGTTACATATCTGCTATGTGATTTGTTTTCAAAGCATCCCAATGAGACTAGCAGGGAAAAGTATTAATACTACTATTTTTTTTTTTTTTGCAGATGATCATATAATAATATTAGCAATTTTAGTGACAAATAATCCTACTAGTGTTTCAGGATTAAGTTTTTATTGTTTATCATGGAAATTACTCACTGATTTCTTTTTTTTTTTAAATTTTTTTCTTAACATTTATTCATTTTCTGAGAGACACAGAGAGAGTATGAGCAGGGGAGGGGCAGAGAGAGGGAGGCACAGAATCCAAAGCAGGCTCCAGGCTCTGAGCACCAGCACAGAGCCTGACGCAGGGCTTGAGCTCACAGACCAGATCATGACCTGAGCTGAAGTCAGATGCTCAACCAACTGGGCCACCCAGGCGCCCCGGCTGGTTTCAAAACCAAAGTAAGTGAGGTCAAGAGTCTTCGTTTTATGAAACTGTCAGGAGCTGCCTGGTTTTTGCCAGTTGAGTAAGGGCAGGAGACACACTCACCTGTCAGGAAGTCAGGGTCAGGGGTGGGCTCTGAGATTTCCTCCAGACACTGATTCTCCAGGGGAACAGTGGCCACCACAAGACCATCTGGCAGTTGCTGGTCTAAACCCCGAGCAAAATTGTTTTGCCTGGAAACAGAAGCAGTTGGTCATTTCTGAAGGTTAAGGTGAATCCCACTTCTTGGTGGGCAATCTAGATCTCAACCTACAATAAAAAAATTCTTCCTGGACCTAAAGGTTTCCCTCCTCCTGAACCCCACTTGCTGGACATGTCTGCAGTAGGACAGGATATAAGAGGTAGGGTAAAGGCTGGGACAGAAGAGACATAAATCAGCTGAAAAGGTAATTCAGAAGACAGAACATTCTTCCCATCCCAGGCCCTACCCCCTGATCCCCACTCCACAAGATCTGGGCATATACTGAGAAGATTCCAGCCACCACAAGATTAGTTTTGACATCTTGCTTGCCATTGGCAAATGAAGTCCCAGCCTAAAAGGGGAAATATTAGTAAAGTCTACTGTCTGTAACAGAAAAGCAACTGATTCCAAGAACTGGCTTGGGTATTTACTATTGGTTTGCTTATAAGGGTCCAGGCCTAGGATGTTATCAATTGCTGTCCATATTGTAACATCCTCCTCTTCCTCCTTCTCCTCCTCATCATTTTATCCTGGGAAGCATGGGCTCTGAGGAAGATGTATTCTAACAGCCTGAGATAAAATAGGAACAGGGGTCAAATGGAGAATCTCCAAGAAATATTCTAAATCAATTTTGCTCTCAGGACCCCCTTATAGTTTTTAAAAAAAACCCACGTAACCTTTGTTTGTTTGGATTTTATCTGTCAACATTTACCATATTAGAAATTGAAAGAGTAATTTTTTAATATGTATTAATCCATCTAAAAATGACAATAACCAACCCATTAACATGAACATATTATGAAAAATGATGAGGGGAGAGGCATTATTTTATATTTTTTGCAATTTTTTAAATGTCTGGCTTGATAGAAGACAGCTGGGTTCTCAGTCTCACATGCAACTTACTGTAATGTACTGTTAGGGTTGAAGTGAATGAAGAAAATCCAATCATTTTTAGTTGGAAAAGGCAGGACCTTGCATATCTCCTGAAAGGATCTCAGGGACCCTCAGGATCCTTGGGCCACACTTGAGGACCACTATTCTAGACTGGCTCAAACTGATTCTTCCACTCAGGGCAAAACAGAACCTGAGGGTTCTCTGGTGGCTCCCATGGAAAATCTTGCAGTCCCTGCCTGGGCAAGATAGAAATTTACTTAACACTATGTTGTTCACCCTGAGGAAGCATGGTTCCCAGATTCTGGAAAGAGGAGAAGAGCATGGGAGAGAACACAACCTGTCCTTTTAGGATCCTGTTCCCCTTGCTGCAAGATATAAAAGCTTTAGGATGACTTGAAAGCTCTTCCCGGAAGAAGACCCATCAATGACACGGAATAGATCAGTTCTACAGACACAAGATTCACCTGAATGTTCCTTTCAGCACTTGCCCAGCAGCGACCTCCTTGGAATGGTTGTTGTAACCAAAGAACATTTCCCCAAAGAGGGTCTGGTTCATGGGAAGCTCCCTGCTTTCCCCACAGTCACCGCCCTCTGGGCAGGTCTCTGCGATGAGCTGGCAAGAGCGTCCATCCACACCAAGCTTGTAATCCTCGATGCACCTACCACGGTGGAAAACTCAAGATAGAAAGCTGTTCCGTCAATGAGATATGCCATCAACTCAACCCAACAGATTGGGAAGAAACACCTCTGGGAAAGTGCTGGGTGGTGAAGATTATGAGTATCCCAGTTTGAGTTTGTCCCCTTAGAACTCAGTCTCTCTTGCCTTTTCTTTGCAGATAAGTGCTTTCAGAGCTCTGGAATGCTTCCTTCTCTAAGTGTATCCTCTCCCTGATAGATCAGGGGAAGAGTCACTGGAGATAAGTTTGCAAGTGAATTACCACATTTAAATCTGAGATATTCTAGAACCTTGCCCCAGAACCATCTATGTGGCCAGACCCTGCATTTGTCTGGAGGGTAAGTAGGCAGCAGAAGGAATGACATTGTGCTTAAGAAATTAATAACCTTCTCATCTAGTCCTGTGACAAGTTAACGAGGAAATTAGAAAGATCAATCATCTTCTGACTGTGTTCTGTTTGAATGTATCCAAACACAAGATCATCCCATATTAAACTCCCCCTCCATTCAGAGTGGCCTTCCTGAACTAAATAGACGCTAGGAATGCCATGTGAACACCTCCTTGGTGTCCCTCCCCATTAAGCATGTACAGTTATTCTAATGGAGGAGCAGTACTGATGTTGGTAAACATGGTTCAATGACCCAGAGGTCATTAATTGGACCTTATTTGTAGTTATATTGAGAAAAATGTAGTCTGTTAGTTCAAGGACTACTTTGATAAACCTGTCATTTAAAAAGCATATTAATTTAATGTGGGTCTCTCCTTAAAATATCCTAGATTTAGAATTTATAGATGTTCATGACATTAAAACACAGCATTTATTACTATTTATGGTAATTGTCATAACAAGATAAAGACCTCTCTTCTATATGGAGGAATAAATAATCACAGTGTTAAGTGGTGGAGAAGCGATGACAGTGCCCTTTACTGGGTGACCTCGGGTGAGCTGATTAAACTCTCTGAGCTTCAGTTTCCACATCTGTAAAAGGCGGAGGAAAGGCTGCTTTGCAAGGCTGTTGAGAAAATCAGTTGAGACAACGACTTAAAGAACTCAGTGTCTCTAGCAAACAACAAACACTCATCAAATCATGCTTATTGTTATCATCAGCAGAGGGACGAATGAGGTCCCTATTACCGCAACTTCAAACCGTTCATATTCCCCATTTGCCATTTACAGATTTGTGTTAACTGGTATGACCAGACCTCTTTAATTTTAAGTGCCTGTGATTTAGTCTTCACATAAAAATGTGAAGTCGTGGAACTCTTTTGGCAGGCTAGATGCAGTGGCTTGGAGAGTGCTAAATTCCCGCACGTACCAGATTCCGACTGGAATCAGAAAGAAAGTCCAGTTAGGAACCTGCTGCATTAGTCCAGGCCACAGATGATGTGACTTGAGACCTTGAGGGGCTCTATGGCTCCAGCCTGAGGCTGGGACAAGACCATGCTGTGGCTCCTTCCTGGAGCCGTAACTGACTGTTTCTGGAAAGAACTGTGAAGCGGGCTGATTCCCTCTCAGTCCCTCCTGAGCATCCTGACAGCTCCCTCTCCCCACTCGCGCCTTCTTCCCGGTGTTCACACACGTGTCCCACCATAAACTCCTTGGAGGGCAGAGGCCAGTCGTCTCTCCTCTATCCTACACCTAACTAGGGTGTCTGCACAAGTCAGATGCTCACATGTTGACTAAAATATTCATGAATGTATCTCTATTAGTTGAAGTGGGCCAACCGTAACAACAGCATTAGAGGGACATTAGAATTTAGATCAAGTTTCCACTTACAGGAGGGAATTTTACAAGAAACTGAAGGTAAAAACTATCAATTGAAAAGAAACCAAATACAACAAAATGCAATAAAATAACACTGCCACCGCACCCAGTAATCCTGTCATGATTATTCAGCAGGCCCTGGCTTTTAGCGACAAGCTAGCATAGCTTCGTTATTATAAACATTGATTTTCATTGCAAGGCTCTTAGATTATGAGATCCTTGCACGGCAAGAGCTGCACGTCATTCATCTGTGCTGCCCAGGGGCTGGCATGGTATGTGGCATAAAGCATACACCCTCCCTGACAGGGGGGAAGACAGGGGTGGGGAGGGCGAGAGGAGGGAGGGAAGGGAAGGAGGGGGGTAGTGAGAAGGGAAGTAGAAGAGAGGACAGGCAAGCAAACTGTGAGTGTACAAGAGTGGGCTAAATCGTTATTTACTTTATAAATATAACATGAAATGGACTTTAAATATAATTCTAGTCAGTGGTGTACATGTACATTTTGCGGGGACCACAGAGAGGGCCTGAATTCTAATCCTGATTTTCCCACTTACCAACTCCCAGTCTTGAGGGAGCCACTTAACCTCACTGTGCCTTGGTTTTCTCCTCTGTAAAATGGGGTGGTGTTGCCTGCCCTGTTTCCTCACACAGTTATCCTGGGAACAAATGAAATGAGGGCTCTGTAACTACACTGAGGAATTAGCTACTCAGTGGGAAGGTGACTACATAAAATACTGGGGCTTTGGGGGCAGAATTTAATAGTTTCCACTCTTCCAAAGATTTCCCCCTCTCCTTCTCTGAGAATTAATTTGTTTTACACAATCTTTTCCAAGCTTTTGGACCATGGAACGCTTTTGTTACAAAACATAGTAACATAATTCCACCGAACACAGTGTGGAAAGTTCCAATATATGCTGGCAATAACTGCGGTCAGGTTCCTCTCCCACAGGGATGGGACTAGACTTTCCCCGAGGGTTCTCTCAACTCCTGACTTTACAAGTGCTACTCTTCCAGTCCTGCAGGTGGCTGGTTCATTTAGATATACTTTGCTGGTTCTGACACTGACCATCCCTCATCCCAGCCTCGCGGGTGGCTCAACTCACCCACAGAACATGAGGATGTTGTACAAAGTGGGCTCATCCGGGAAGGGCGCCATCTGCTGGAGACACAGCTGCTCACAGCCGCCATTGAAGCCATCTGAGCAGTCCACCCCAATGTGGCGGTCGTAGCAGCCAGAGCTGTCCTTCATGGGACTCAGGCCGGACGGGCACTGGCACAGTAAAAAAACATCCACGCAGGGAGGTAAATCAGGGGACTGGGTTCTCGGGGAAGTAGAGTGTAACCACTCATGCCTATTCTTAGCACTCAGCCTTGAAACCATTAACATTGGCAAGTAAGGCACCAATTGCCCACCATGCTGGACTCCCTTTAAAAGCAAGCGATCTCTTTGACATCTTGCTTCTTTTCTCTGGGCACAGATCACACATATTTGCATTAAAGCTAATTCTTCTAAATGAACTAGAAGGGAACATCACAGCAAGATAAGAGTGAGGTGTGCTGGCTCCCAACTGGGTTGAAGTGGTGGGCCAGGATTGAACAACAGCAGAGACTTCTTTGGACTGAGGGAAGGGAGTGCTACTGTTTGCACTTAGTATTAATAGGCATTTTTTTTGTTTGTTTGTTTTAGCATGCAAACATGTTGCCAAGGTTGGTCAGAGAGCCAACAGTGTTGGAGGGGATGGACAGACCCAGGGCTTCTAGCTGGAAGGAGGAAGACTTTCTCTGTGACTCTGGAGGGAGATCTGACTGCTCTCCCAGTGGGAGTGGCCGGACTCACGACCCTCCCACCTCAAGCACACTTGCAAAGGATGCAAGACAAGAGCATCTGCTACAGGAGCACTCACAGGTGCTGTGCTTGGGTTTGGGCTTCATGCCAGTGTCCTGTATGCTCTTATTATGCAACGATTAGCTTCTTTGCACTGCTACATCCTCAGAAAACTCCCCAGGAGTGCCAGCAAAGATAATCCAGACAGAGAGTCAGCCAGAATGCGGGCAAGACAAGGGATTGGTGAACATTGGGAGCCCTTTCATCCACCAGGCCAGGTCTAACTCATAGGTCTTACTCATTCAGCTCTTGACACATCGCCTTGAAGTACATAGCATGATTGGTCCCAACTGACATGTGAAGAAACCGCAGCACAGAAAACTTAAACTTTACCTTCCTAAAGTCCTACTGCTGATCACGGCAGGACCACACCCGAAACCTGGCATGCTGAGGATGGGGGTCCGTGACTCAGCTGCCCCATCATTAGCTTACACAGCGATCCGTCTCCTGCACAACAGTCACTGTTTATTGAACACTTACTAGGATCTGGGCATTATGGTGGTGCTCTGGGTGTTTTGTCTCCCATCACCCTATAGGATCCTCATTTAATACATGTGGAACCCATTAACATGGCCAATTAATGCATGAACTCACTGCACTGGAGTCCACCAAAAAAGTCAATGAATGTTTTGCCTTCCTGCTTCTTCTGTCTGTTCAATAGATTCTGCACATTTGTACTACAGTGGCTCCTTTTCACACAGGCTGCAAGAGGGGCTAATAACTTGCTCAGGGTCAAGCAGCTTAGTATGGGGCAAGCTGGGGGTCTGTCTAAAGATGACCTGCTTTTAATGACTGTGCTACACGTATACTGTCAACTCATGAACACACTCCTCCAAAATCCAAACCAAACCGAAAAAGCTTTCAAAGCTTGGTGGAATGGTGTTAACCCTCCCCACCCTCCTCGTGCCCTGCTGCCTGGCTGCATCTTTTTCTTGACTGCCAAGCACTTTGGCCTAGGAGCCCAGGGCTGCCACAGGTGTGCCTGGGAACCCCTCCCTTCCGCCCCTCCTCCCAAGATCACAGCAGTATTTGCTGACACTAATGTTGCAATTTCCCAAACAAATGGCCCCTCTGTGGGCCCACCAGGCTACCAGGCTGACCCATCCCCTTCCTCCCCATGAAGCCAGCTGGAGTGCTGGAAGGTGAGGTTGTTCAAAGCCGCATCCAAGGGCTGCACCATGCGGTGCAGACCCAGATGTTCCAGATGATGGTAAACAAGCAAACGAGGCAGCTGAGGATGGCAACCCATGTTTTGTTAGTGCCCCCACCCATCCACTGCCTTGGCCATCCAGCTGTTAGGCCAGCTGTGCCACCAGAAGGGAGCAGGCTTCACCACTGTGAGGCTGCCCAGGTATGGATGTGGAAGTCTGATCAGAATTCAACGGGCTGCCCTGGTTGCTAGGAGTCCTTTTTCTTTTTTCCCTTCTGTAAAGCTTGAGAAAAGCCATCAAAGTAGAGACAAAGCCAGTCCTCCTACTGTTCCCACCTCATGTGGTTTCAACTCTTGCATCTGCGAGCTCACCAGCCAGGACTCCCACCTTCCCAACCGCCTGCTTCCCCCCCCCCCCCCCCCCCCCCCCCCCCCCCCCCAATGCTCCATCAAGCATGATTCCTGACAAATACTTCACCAAACGAAAAGCCCAAGCAGGCTTTGTTCCAGAATTCCAAAGCTTGGCATATCCACAACTTGCCTGGCCCTGATGTCTGCATGCCCACGGCGATGCCAAGCTGGACCACCTGACATTTATACTCTCTCGGGAATTGTGGAGACAAGATAGCTAGCTGCCTGGTCCCAGTTGCATTTTTTTTGTTCTTACAAGCAAAGCAAAAATAACAACAGCTATCGGGAGTTAAGCAATTCCATGTGCAGGACAATCAATATATATTTTCTTCAATCGCAACAACACAGACAGACTTTTTTCACCTCATTTTACAGACGAGCAAACTTAGACTCAGAAAGATTAAGGAGTGCCTTGCTTAAGGTCACAGGAGTGGGAACTGGCAGAATCAGATTTTGGAACTAGATCTATTTGACCTCAAAGCTCATGTCTGTCTCTTCTACTCTGCTGTGCTGCTTCTCAGGTGTGGGAAAACGTGGGCTCATTGGAATCCCTAATGAAATAAAGTCAATCCAATACATCAACAGGTAAAGCAGTCTGGTAGATTTGTTGTTTGTTCGTTTGATTGTTTTGAGCAACACAGTACACTCTGGCATCAATTATGGACTTGCAGGTTTAGCCTAATAATCTTTTTATTTCTCTTTCTCTCTGTGCTTCTCACTACTCTTTCTCTTTCACACACACACACACACACACACACACACACACACTCCATATTATGGGTGCATAAGGCAAAAATGCTCAAAATGTCCAGAGCAATGACCCTGAAGGCAAGACAAGATCCTCAATCACTGAAAAAGATGCAATTATCTTCACTGTGCTGTAACTCACTTGGTCTGCAGTTCAGGGAAAAATATTTTTGAAAGATTTCCAGGAACAAAAGGCTGAAGCTGAAAATACAGTTTTCTTCTCAACCCTGGTTGAACCAGAGCACCTGTTCTCCAACAGGTCTGATCCATCAAGTTTCCCACGGCAGACATTTGTTTTTGGTTTTGCCCACATGTTACTTGTACTGTTGTGGTCACATTCTGGACTCCTCAAAATCTGCATCTAAATACAAATTAAACTACTGGCCCCAAACCATGCCTTCTTAGAAGTATTTGCAGCCAGAACCCAGCTGTCAGGAGAGAATTCCGCCTCCAGGAGGAGTTGGTATTTTCTCTTGGCAAGTATTGGCCATTCTCATCTCTTGGCTTGTGGACAATCTCTCCACTTATTTCTTAAAAGAGAACTGTGCTCAGGATTAAGCCCCAAGGTCATATATGAACCCCTCTTGGCATAGGTTACATTTAGCAGTCCCAGAGCCTTTATAAACAAGAGGTTTATAAAGAAAACTCCATTTATAAAAATGGCAACAACCTTCCCCCATTGAGAAGGTCTAATAAATGAGCTCATATTTTAGCGACCACTAAAATACACAAGGTTAATCATCTTTCATGAGATGCTCATGGCTTCTTGACTTATTATTGGTCTAAGGCATCATTTGCTAATGAGATTAAAATGATTTCTCCCCTCCCATTCAACTCCTTTTCTTCACTGTCTCTTCCTTCTTTTCCTACCAGTGATTTTTGGTTGATTAATTACTTAGGAGTCTAGTCAAATCTCACTAGGCCTGAGACACACACCCTTTTGTTCCAGATCACAAGGCAGATGCACTGTTAGCAGATGAATAGGAGTGATGGACACATGAGCGTGTTCGGGGCCCCGGGGCGGGGGGAAGGGGAAGAGGAATATTTTCCCTCAGCTGTACCTGCCTTGTCTTACCTGGATGATTCGTAAGATATCCACCCATAATGCCTACTCAAAACAAGCTCCCTCTTCCTATGTCATAATCTTCCTTTTACAAATAATGATTTCCCTGACTTTTTGATGGGCTCTGACAAACCAACCCAAGCCATGCAAGACTTCTCCCAGGGGGAACATTTAGTGGAATTAAATTTATGTTTCAGCTTCCTGCCCTGAAGGAAGGCCTCTGAAGCATAGGCTTTTGCTTACCGTCCTATGGTCATCTGTAATGGTCTCTGCACATCTGCGCTCCAGTAGAGGTGAAATGACACATTTCGTGGGAAACCATTGTGGACAGCATGTCGACAGAAGGGCGGTAGGGTCACTGGGTAATTCAAAGCTCATTAGAGCATAATGCTCTGGCAGCCAAGGTCATGTGTTCATTACACGAGAAAGCAGGACAGCTGACCCCTTGCCTTCCAAGGCCACGGTCTGCTCACCTAAGCACACGCAGATAGCGCACAAAGCAAAGGCATTTTGGGGGCCACTTTCAGGATGAGTGTGAAGATGAGGAAGCAGCAGTAGAGCATGGGCTTCCCATTATTCTAGAGCACTGGAAATAATTTTCAAACCTTCTAAGTATTTTAACTTAAACCTCAATAGGTAGGCTGGGTGAGAATGAGGGTGCCCTGGCTCAAGCTGGGAGTGGGGATCAGCATCCTGCCCACCAAGTCCACCCCAACCCCACTGCCATCTCCCACCTGTGGCCCCCCCAAGGATGTCAGCAATATAACCTCCGGAGCCTGTGAATGTGTCTCCTTACACAACAGAAGGTGCTTTGCAGGTCAAGGTGAGATGGGGACATTACCCTGGTTTATCCAGGTGGATCCAACATCACCACAGGAGTCCTCAAAAGTGGACAAGAGAAACCGAAGATCAGAGAGCAGGTGCTACAGGAGAATGGCCAGAAAAAGTGCAATGCAGCTGGCTTTAAAGACACAGGAAGATGAACACAAGCCAAAACCCAAGGGCAGACTCTGGAAGTCAGAAAGGTCAAGACAGTGGAGTCTCCGCTGGAACTTTCAGAAAAGAATGCAGCCTTGCAGATACCCAATTTTAGCCCCATGAGACTCGTGTTGCATTCTCACCTACAGAACTGTACGATAATAAATGAGTATTGTTTTCAGCCACTAAACCCATGGTCCTGTTGAAGCAACAATAGGACACCGATACAGTCACTTCGCAGGACCTTATGGAACGTCACAGAACACAGAGCCACTGCTTTGGTGCTTTCCATGGAGGGACTACAGCTCCCACCTGGGCACAGTAAGCACATGGGCAGAAATAAGACCCAAAGTTATCAGCAGCGGGGGGCTGACCTCTGCTCGGGGAGCCTTCCCAAAGTTTCCACAATCCCTGCTTTGGGAGAGTGGTCCAGTTTGGAACCAAGTGATGGGGTTTCCACAGGTCCATGCCTTTCACGGGCATTTGTTTCCCCGTCCTCAGAGACAACATAAACAATAGGGCAATTAACTGGGTAGCAATTAACCCTGTGGGAGTCCATGCATAACTGAGAAACGTGTCCTGTCTTCCTAGAAAGAATGAAGATTGAGCGGGCCCCAGTGCACTGGCCCCGCCCGTCTGGCTTGCAGCCAATCAGTAAAATACACAGGTACCTCCTCTGGTCCCACATCCCCTCCCTGCCCCTCTCCCAGGTTCCCTCAGGCCCCGTGTGTTCGGGGTTCCTCATCTCTTTCTCCGTCCATGAAAACATGCTGTTCCTGAGAAGGCTTCCAATCCGGCACCCAGAGAACTGAATGTCAGGGTTTATGTGGAGAGGTGAATGGTAGCCTGAATCTCCCAAACAGCAGTTTGGTGCCACCAAATGCCTCTGTCTCTGGTCCACACCTCCAGATGACCCTGGACGGCTCTGCTATCACATCAGGCCTCTTGCCCAGTACTGGTGTCCAGCTCAGCTCACCGTAAATCCCTGATCTACTTCTCAGGAGGATCACAAGGGTCGAGATGTGACACATCGGCTCTCACCCGTAAGTCCTCAGGTCTCAGGGATCACGTGCTTGATGGCCAAGGAAAAACAGTCCATTGAATGGCCTGCCAGTCACCCGGCCCCGCCTCCCTCCAACAGCCACGTGGACCAGTGACTTCAAAGTATTATGCTAATCCCAAGCACTGGTATAATTGGGTGACTTTCTGCCGCGGCTCCAATTCTAAAACGCAGCGGCCTTATTGCAAATGCATATTCATCGGAACTATTCCTGCTAGCTTCGTCTCACAGATTACAGTGTTAAAAGTACAAAAATACACCAGCAAGGCTACGTGCCAAATAAAAGGGGCTAGGATCACCAACAGAAGGCACTTGACAGGCCACCATTCCGGGCTCAGGAAAGGGGAGGAGACAGAGGGCATGTCATGTGCAAGTGTATGAAGGTGTGAGCGCGCTCCGATTCAGCTGGGGCTGGCTGGGGCCGGAGCGGGGAGCATACTCACGTACGTGCACACACAGTGTTTCAGTGCTCAGAATGACCCAAGAGAGTGGCAAGGGATGAAAGGTTGAAATCTGAATGGAGAAATGCAGGTTGAATACTAGGGAAAGATGTGTCTCAGCTGGGAGCTCCATTAGAGGGTGAAATTGTCTCCTGAGAGACCCAGTTGGGAAGCTCGTTGCTTAAGACGTCTGAAAGTGGACCAGCCAAAAGGAGGCGAGCCCTGGCGGACACCAACATACCTCCTGGCCGCCTCTGGAAGGCAGAACCCACAGAGCACTTCTCTTTGTCCTTGCCCGGTGGTCCTCTATTCTGCCTTCCCTTCCTTTGATGGACGGGCTAGGTCTCCGCCTACCTGCCCCCTCAGCTCTCTCCCTTTTCTTTTCTTCACTTTCTTTCCTTCCTCACATGAATCAGGCTCCTGTCAGCTGCTGCCTGATCTGTGAAAGTCGGGGGAGGCCTTAGGGCAGTGAGGGTCCCACCCTGCATCCCAGGCGCATATCTGCCTTTAATGGAGCACAGCTCTCAGAACGAAGCAGGTGCTCAGAGACCGGGAAGAGGGTGTGTGAAAGCGGGATTCGGCCCAGCCTCCTCACAGCTTGCCCCTGCCCCCGATCCCATTCCTGGAGCACGGCTGTCAGACTGGGAAGCGAGATGAGGCACCGCAGTCTCCCTGAGCTGGAGGCTCCTGACCCTGCCCCCGAAACACAGCAGAACTATGCGTCTCAACAAGCCATCGCTCCCTCTCCTTTCTGCCCACTTTATGTCTGGCTTTCCTGCCTTCCTTCTTTGTCCTCTCCTCTCTGTGAGGACGGCATCATTCTGCCCTTGAAAAGAAAGGAGGGCTAGCAACAGACAACAGTGCTGCTGGGCATGAAAACGCCAATATTAATTAAAGGCCCCGGCAGCTGATGGCTTCATCTGCTCCTGCCTCCATTTACCTGCATCTGCTCCTGCCTCCATTTACCTGCATGGTGCAGTCCCCACAGTGACTTTATCCACAGTGCAGGAGCTCTCTTAGTCCGCTCTTGACTTTTTAGGTCCTAGCATCACATGTTTCACAAGTAGGCAAAGTCCCCAGAGCCAACAACAAAGTAGAAAACCACCTTCGGTGAAGGTTCATTGCTATGGTCGCAAAGGAGACATATTTTTATTTTTCTCCTCCATTCCTGGGGTAACTTAACTTCTTTCATCATTCTGGCCTGAGGTAGGTTTCTCCTAAAATCTCCTATTACAGTCAGTGTGATTTGACCCTAGACTACGATAGAATTTCCTATTATGGTCAATACCGTCTAATTCCTATCAGAGTCAATGTCCTACTGTTAAGCAGCTAATTAATTCTCAAATTGTTTGGAGGTAACCCTTGCCAATGAGATTGTAAGACTGGAAACAAAGAATCCTGCTCTATAATTCATGAAATTTCACTAGGATAGCTATAGTACATATAGCAGGTGCTACAAAATTTCTTCTTGATTGGTTAGTGATTAGTTTCTCATCTCTGTCAAGAGAAAATTCATAATTTAGACTACATGGTGGTTGACAATGAGGGAGGGATCATTTTGACCTTCTCTCTCTTTTTTAAAGTTTATTTATTTATTTTGAGATACAGAGCAAGTGAGCAGGGGTGGGTCAGAGAGAGAGGGAGAGAATCCCAAGCAGGCTCTGCACAGTCAGCATGGAGCCTGACGTGGGTCTCAAACTCACGAACAGTGAGATCATGACCTGAGCTGAAATTAAGAGTCAAATGCTTAGGCGAATGAGCCACCTGAGTGCCCCAACCTTATCTCTCTTCTTTCTTAAAGATTTTATTTTTAAGTAACCTTTATACTCGATGTGTAGCTCAAAGTCAAGACCCTGAGATTAAGAGTCACACGCTCCACCTACTGAGCCAGCCAGATGCCTCATCTTATATTCACAGTATATTTGCATCACAGTATGTATATGCATTGTCTTATCCTGTGTGCCCCCCGACCCACCCTGGAATCCGAAGCCTGATGGGGCAGACGTACCATGCAACCAGTGGAGTCCAGCTTGCGGTCTGAGATGCACCGGAAGTTCTTACTGCAGCCCCCATTGTCCTTGCTGCAGTCGCGCACTGGCCCAAAGGAATCTAAGAGAACCTCCAGGCTGTCAAAGGAGGATGAGGTCATCAACTCCTCTCTGTGGGGAGACACAGCGGGAGGGGGGCAGGAGTCAAGGCAACTCCAGGTACAACAAGTAGCATCACATTCCAAGTCACCTGCATCATGTCTCACTCTCACGAAAATTAAAGTTCAACCACATTCTGGGCCTTGAACTAACAAATTATGGACATTCTCCATATCTGGGAAATGAGCCAAGGCTGTAATGCCTGGTCAAAGAAGGAGGTCTAAACTTGGGTGAGGAAATTAACATTTTATTGCCTGTCAGTCCTTAGGGGATGTGGGAAGTGCTTACAAACTCTAATTTTATGTCCTCTCCCAGAGCATGAGCCTTGGGGTGTGCAGTATTGACCCAGATAGAGTAGACCCTGGCACTGCTTACAGGGAATCTGAAGGCAGCCCGCCAGCTTCTCCTTTCAGCTCATCAAGATTCCTTTCCTAGCTCCTTGCACCTGCCAGTAGTTCCTCACTCAGCACCCCAAGCCAAACGTGGCCCCGGCATCCTGAGCCCAGACTCACCTGACCTCCACGGCGTCCTCCATCACTGTCATGTCCGTCTTGCACTTTGCTGAAGGGTTGATGGCCAGTTCAGCTGGTGGGATCACAAAACTCTTGCTGAGGGGCAACCACATGCCCTCCCCAAGGGTGTAGGTGAATCTGTAGGGACACCCAACACCAGGTGGTTACGGCTAGGGGAGTAACCACCCCGCCAGCAGACCTGGCCTTCTGCTATCAAGGCCTTCCTTTTCAGCCCTCGCCACCTCTTCAGGAAAGGGAGTTGGCCGCCATTCCATGGATAAGATGATGCACGTGTCCAGCCAGTTGGGGGAACGGATTATGGCGCCCACTCACCAGCTGTTTGAAGTGGTTCTTATCAAGCCCTAAGAAATCAAATTCCAGTTTCCTTCAGATATAAAGCTGGGCTTCCTCAACCCGAAGTCAGATATAATTGGAAGCATTTTAATTGAAGAGACTGGTCTCCCACTGTCCCCAGCCCTCGGACTGCACACCCACAGTGGTAACGACGGCTCCTCCCTGTGCCTGAAGGAACCCTGCAAGGGAAAGGAAGACAGGAGCTCCCCCTTTTCAGGTTGTTGTGTGATGCACACAGAAACGAAGGAAGGCAGCAGCCCCAGGGAAAAGAGAAGAGGAAGAACAGGACAAGCCTGGATATGTTCTCCACACTCCTACCCACACCCTCAGCTAATGGCGGTAGCCCTCAGGAGACAGGGGAGATTGCTGCATTTTTAAAAATTCTTATAACAAGGGCTAAAACGAATAGAAGAATCAATCAGCATTTCAAGGGAGAGCTTAAGGAAATCATGAAAGATTATTTGTTTATTTATTCATTCATTTTATTTCAAAGGCATTCAAATACCCTGTGTTCACAGTCAAAAATAGTCTATGGGATAAAAGCCAGTGTGGGTGGGATATCACAAGGCGGTGGCAGTCTGGCGGCCCCTTCCAACTTACTGTGGAGGGAGGAACAATCGAAGAATGCTTACAATTAAACAGAACCCAGCCCTGGCTCCATCAGCATGCCCGTCACAGAGCCCCACTTCAGAGCCCTGCTCATTCGTCTCCCTTAACCCACAGGATCCCTTCTCCACTCCCTGGGGTTGCTTGAGATGATGCTAGGAAACCAGACGGAGGGCTTGCGATCTTTTATGAGAAACACGACCCCCTCTGGAGTGCCTGCGTGGCTCAGTCGGTTAAGCGTCCGACTTCGGCTCAGGTCGTGATCTCACGGTTTGTGGGTTCAAGCCCCACATCAGGCTCTGTGCTGACAGCTAGCTCAGAGCCTGGAGCCTGCTTCAGATTCTGTTATCTCCCTCTCTCTCTGACCCTCTCCTGCTCATGCTGCCTCTCTTTCTCTCTCAGAAATAAATAAAACATTAAAAATTAAAAAAAAAAAAGAAAAGAAACACCACCCTCTGGAATGCTGGCCGCAGAGAATGCCCACTGACCCAGGCTCGCACGATTTTCACCCACCCCCTGAAGCACAGGCAGCTCTGGGTGCTATAGCAGCTGACAGAAGAGAAGGCGGGTGCCCAGGAGAAAGGCAAAACCACCGAGCAAGTGGGATGCAGCCAGGATTTTAGAGATTGTCCCCTCGTTCCCAACCTCACTCTCGGTCCCCTATTCTGTGACCTGCTGGGTGAATCTCTACATTAAGTAGCACTGAAATAACGGAGATGCTTCTTGCTCTGAAGGATGCACTCAACTCTTCCCATCCATGCGGACAGACGGCAAGAGTTGGGGCTCGGTCTGTGCAGGGATTCAGGGAGGGGTCTGCACAGGTGAGGGAGGCCAGTTAGCAGGGGACAGAAGAGGACACCTGCCACTTCATTCTTCTGTGAAGCAGCTGGCAAAATTGAAGGCATGCCAGTCCCTACAGACACACACACACACACACACACACACACACACACACCACACATACACACACACCCTCATCTGGCAAGATTAAGGAGCCGATTAGGGCAAATGATTGCCCCTAAGTGCCCGGAATCTGAGGTTAAGAGAAGAAGTGGGTTCGGAGGCAACAATATGCAAGGTGCTGCACTGACACTGCATTTCAGAATGGACACTCTTGAGGGCAACGCGACAACAGGCAGGCGGGGGTAAGGACACCACTCATATTATAAATGAGCTATTGTTTCAGAGAGAACATATCCAAGTTTGAATGGTACCAGGGAAGAAGCAGTTTATTTGTTGATTTGGACATAGAGGTGAATTTTTGTTTTCTATTTTGGTTATAAAATTACAAGTTTGCACTGATGTAGAGCAACAAATCTGGGACCTGTAGCTTATAATTTATGAAACAGATTTTGGGAAACAGTTGGCAGTTCTAGTATATTTCTGATGGTTAATTTTTCTTTTGGAAGAGAGAGCTCCATGCCCCTCTGTCTCAGGGCTCCCCTCCTCCTCTGCATTCAGCAACAAACAACTCAGAGGGGAACAGGAAGCCACCTCTTTCCCCAACTGAAACCATTCAACAGCACCCTGGACCTACGGAGCAAAGAGCACATGTCCAACAATGTCATTCCCACCCCCTTCTTCAGCTGCTTCTTTCCCCAAACCCTGCCTCACGTTTTGTCCTTGTACCATGCAATCGGACTGTCATCTCTAAAGTCCCCTTAATTTCCTCACCTCTTTGCCTTTGCTCTTAAGAATCCTTTCTGAATTTGCTTCCCTTTCTTCGCTGGATTCCAGCCATGTTAAGACTCAGTTAAAATCCCCACCCCTTCCAGAAGGCCTGCCAGGACCTGCATACTCAACCTCAGGCTGAACAAGGGACACACTCCTCCATGCACACACACATGGTTCCTGGTCACTCCCGGAGATGGTGACTTGTGCCCATCTTCTCGTGTCCATCATCACTCAGAAGAAAGTGCTCTCTTGTGTGGCAAGGGACGTTTCTCTGCCATCTTGGTATTCGCACTGCCTACCACAAATTTTTGGCCCAAGGAGGTCACTCCATAAATAGTTATGGACTGATCAATAAGGAGATTCAGTCTGTTCCCTAGTTTGCACAGGCTCCAGGGTGGATATAATCTCTGTTGTCAAACTTCAAGGAGAAGTGATAGTGAAGATCACCCTTTACTGAGAGCAGGATATGGGTCAACCTCTGGGTCCAAATGGATTTAGTGGTCAAGATGGATGGTGAGAGACCACCGAAGGGCACAGTAGTTTCTGAGACACAACACTGTACCACATTAACAAGAAAAATAGTGTACTCTTCAATCTCTGGTAGGGCCAAGGAGAAACCCTGTAGAGGAAGTGAAGGCAGAGGTGGCTGAGGCTAACCTCCGTTGAGATCTCTCAACATGGCACATGCTCCATAACGCTGCTCCATGTACCCTCACGACAGTCTTCTCAGGTTGGTCACTTGGCCCCATTTTCCTAATTTGTCAACTAACATTTTAAGGAGTTTGGCCACCTCCCCAAGGTCACCTCTCCTTCAGTGGGAAAGCTGGGGGCTGGTCTGATACACAAGTATGGCTCACAGCAGTTTTCCAGCCCATACTGGCTCATGCCTATGAAATTCTAAAGTTTTCTTTTCTCTGCAAAATTTACAGAGTAACTCCAAAAACCAAATATAGAACAAACTGTCAGAGAAAAAGCTGTGTCCTGAAATCTCATCTGTCCCTCATTCATGTTGATTTGGCAGGAATGACTTCAGAAAGCCACCAAAGAGGAATTGGGAGAGCATCTGGAATGCTTTCCCAAGTTGGGCCTTCTCTTGTGACAGCTGGTGGTGACCACTGCAGTGGATGGCTCAGCTGTAGGCTGAGTCCTGCACACGACACTGTTGAACTCGTATTTGAAACTTCTGTTCAGAGGCAAACTCTTGCCAGAGAGCACTGGGCATAATAAGACTGTCCTCTCACTGTGGCTTGGCATAAAACAGGGTGTGGGGAAACTGATGGCCTGGCATCTCCACTCTTCCCCAGGGCAGGCAGATCCAGAATGAGGTGTCATTCCCAGTGACACAGCTACACACTCGGAAGGAGGGTCTCTGAGGGAGAAATCTAGTCTGCACCAATCCCGCCACCAGAAGATCTAGCGGAATAGCATGACCCTCACCACAATGGAGAGAATGTCTCTGACACTGCACTGGATTTGCTGAAAAGACTCGGTTCAGCTTCCTCGGACCCTCTGAGTCTAGCTTGGGCCCTTCTCAGATTCTTTGGGATTGCAGATTACCAAGGTTGGGTTGGGTATCAAGGTCTTTTATTAATTTGGTTTCAAGTCCTTAGGAAATACCTGAAATGATCAGTTACAGATATTTGCTGGAGATCTACTGTGTTCAAAATCATATATTAGATGTTAAATATTTAAAGCCATAGAGGGTACGACCCCTTCCCTCAAGAAAACAATCATTTCATTGATATAAACAGGCAACTAAAACTAAACATGAGAAAATAATTGACAAATAAATATTACAGTCAGTATGCTATAGATGTCTGGAGTGGGGAAAAGTCATTGTGGGTTTGGAAAAGCTTTAAAGCAATGTTCTTCAATCCTGGATAGAGATCAGAATTACCATGGTGTTTTTAAAAAACTCATGGCCTAATCCCATGTCCCTGAACTTTTCAATTAATTGGTTGATGCCGGGTAAGATCACTTGCCATTTTTGAAGCATGCTGGGATTCTCCTGGAAGATCAGGGTTGGAGAACAATTCTTGGATGAGATTGTAAATTTCTTGCAGTCAGGGGCCATGTCAGTCATATTTGTTTGGTCATATCTACAGCATCTAAACCAGTGCCTCGTAGTGGTAGGCGCTCAGTAGATAACTGGACTTAACTAAGATATGTCCCAGACCATGGAAATGGATAGTGTTTATATTAGGAGAAGAATATATATCCTGCTAGAGGAATGAGGATGAGCAGAAGAGTAAAGTGGGAAGTGTTTATGTTGCCGGGGACAGTGGATCAGGTAGGGAATAGATTTGACCAAGAACAGAAGGTTCTGGGGAGACTGGGTGGCTCAGTCGGTTAAGTGTCTGACTCCTGGTTTTGGCTCAGGTCATGATCTCATGGTTCATGAGTTTGAGCCCCACATTGAGCTCTGCACTGCCAGTGCAGAGCCTGCTTGGAATTCTCTCTCTTTCCCTCTCTCTGTGCCCCTCCTGCTCTCTCTCTCTCAAAATAAATAAACTTAAAAAAAAAAATGGAAGTTTCCATAGGAGAAGAGCAACTTATAAAACAGCCTTGTCCACTGGCATTCAAATGTGGAGAGATTCAAATGTCAGAAATGTGCAGTAGCTTGGAATTCATCAGGATACTAAATCATAGGTGAACAGAATGGCAAGAAAAAGGTCCTTCGCTTATTTAAGAGATTACAGTCACTGGCTGGGTCATGAAATTTTCCAGAGTAGCCACTGGCAGTTGCTTTACTCTGATCCCAGAGTGGTTTGGATTAAAGTTCTTGATACCTAAAATAGGTAAATCCTGACCCATTACTTTTATCGGAGAAAGGCGGGTTCTTGTCATGTGAGGGGACAACAGGACTGATTACCCCACTGGCTCCTGAAATAACTGCAAGGGTCAAGCCATTCAGCTGACCCCTTGATGGCACATGGCTATCACATGTGGCCGGCAGCTAACATGCCTGAAAAAAATAAATGGCACCTGTGGGGATGGAAGCGCAGGTTTGGTACAGGCTCTGCTTTAACAGCAATTTTATTAAGGCCCCTGTTTTTCAAAGTGTTGGTTTCTGACTTTTAGGGGAGAGGAAACTTATCCACATTAATCAGCCGAACTCCACCAGGCTCTCCATCTACCCTTATCTTTATCACCCTTCGAAGGTCTTAGCAGACCGGTGGTAGAAAAAGAAGAAGAAAAGCATCAGCCACATGATAAATCCTTATTGGAAAGTTTAAATGCCCAAGTCATAGTCTAAGGAGTATAGCTGACATCTCGCATAGCATGAGTCCTCAAAAGCAGCCATGAATGTGACTCGGCCTCCCCTGAGAGACACTCAGGAGGGAAAAAGGCAAGGGAAGGCCCGTGAGGAAGTAGTTGTGTAAATCTACACTCTTGCTCTTAAGCATGTCTTCACACTGCAGGGGCCAAACCCAGGCAGTCTGGAGCCAGCAAGGAGAAGGAGCCAGAGGACCTGGGGCAGAGGAGTCGGCTCTAGGGGGCAAATGCAGGAGCAAAATTAACACCTAGGCCAGGCCAGGCTGACAGGGAGGGTCTGGGGAAGGGCCCAGAAAGGGGGCGGAGAATATGAAGACTCAGCACTCTGTAGGGGTGCAGTGGAAAGGAAACATGCTTTCCATTTGCCCCACACTGCCCGCCATTTCTCCCACAGTGCCCTGCATCAGCTTAATGCATCTTCTGACATCAGACCTTCCGGCATGACTATTTACTTCCTCTGTCAGAGGGCGTGCACACGGAGGGACATGTATTCACGCCCATACTACCAGGCCACAGACTATCTCAGGTACTTTGCCAGGAGTCAGCAAATACACATTAAATGAAGGACACGTTGACAAAATAAAGGCATGAGAAGATCTTAGTTTGGAAATAAACTCGTGTTCCAGCTACAGCCTGGTGTGAATTAAACTTCACGAACGTCCAACAGCTCATGGTGGCACCCAAATTCTTCCTCTGCTGGTTGACTTTTCTGGCATGTGCTATTCCCAGGTATGTAGGTAGAAATTTGGGAGGGACTAGAAATATCCAATTTGATTAGGAGGGTGGTAGATAAAAGAAACATAGTAATGAAGTAGAGCTGAGAAAAGGAGGAGGCAGGGGCGGGACAGATTTTGAACAAGACTTGATGAAAAAGGTGCAAATTAGATGCAAAAGGGAGAGGCAGAAACTGACATTAATTGCCTGCTCTGTGCCAGTTACTGCGCCAGGGGCTTTCCCTGCGTTATCTCACACATTCCTCACCACAATAGAACCAGGCAAATAACAATGTAGCCCCATTTAACAAATGCAGAAACTGGAGGCTCCAAGAAGTTAAGTAAATTACTGGGGTTCACAGATGAGGTAAGCAAGGAAGCCAGGACCCAAATAGCATTGTCTGCCCTCAAGAGTTCTCCACCCTGGCACCAGGCGTGAGTACTGGGGCCAGCGCTTTTGTAACGAGGAGGGCAGAACAGCTAAATGTGTTTCCCATTTTCTACTTTATCTAGAGGAAAGAAAGGTCAGTGGGAAGTGGGACATGGGGCTTGCAGACATACATAAAGCAAGTCCCTAGACAGCCACTTACCTGAATATTTTATCAGAAGGCTGTTCTCCCAAAACCAGGTCAAAGCCCCGCTGAAATATTGTGTAAGGCCAAGGCCTAAAAGGAGAAACATCATTCAATTAAAGTCAACTCCACAAACACTCTCTGAACATCGACTTCATGCCAGGCACCATGCCGGGTGCCGGAGACCCAGTGACACAGGGGACCTCGTCCCTGCCCTCAAGAATCCCACTGAGGGGGGCTCTCGCAAGACCCTGAATGCTGGAGCTGGACCCAGAACATGAGCAACATAAAAGTCACTGAACCACCAGGAAAGTGGAATGGAACAGACATGACAACCACAACTCCAGAGGCACTAAAATCATATTAAGATGGACCTCACATGGCAGTGATTCACGGTCCTTCCGACGTAGACTTAACTGATACTTAGCTCTGACTCACTTAAAAAAAAGACAGTCAGCATGATTTCTTGGGAAAGACGAAGCCTCTGGAATCAGACGGTTCTGGGTTCAAACCCTGTTCTGCTATTGGCTTGCTGCGGGCAAGTCATTTACCTTGTTGAGTCTAATTTCCTCTTTGGTAAAAATAGAGTCAGTTACAGCTGACTTCAGACCGCTGTGAAGATTAAGCAAACCTCTTAGGCCAAAGCCACAGCTCATCCAGGGTCCTCAACATGTTCCCTTTCCCTCCTCAAAATTACATGAAGATTCTGGGTCTTTGACAGGGTCCAGAGGTTTTCAAACATTTTAACGCCATTCCTCCAAACAGAAACAATTGAAGTGGTACTTTTTCAATGATTCTTAATACAAGTCTCCCTTCTGAACCTCTAGGTTCTGTCACTTATAATTGAAAGTAACAAAACTATGTTATTCAAATAGTACATATATCTTTTGACTAACCCACATGTCTAACCCCAAAATTATTTGCTCCTGTGAGCTAGACTTAGGAAAGCCTGGGACTGTGTCGGGCACTAGATATTGTACACACTGTATGAACTGAGCCCTCAACCCAATGATTGAGGATTTTGCTGTAGCCATGCCTTTGGTCTTCAAAAACTAGAAAAAGTCAGCAGCATAAAATGACATAATTATGATTTGGGGCTAAATCTAATGCTGGAACTAACCCTGTGGTTGTCAGTGTGAATGCCATCACCCAACAGAGTGCACTTGGGGACATTTATGGTTGCTCTTCAATAACACAATGATTGGAGGACATTGCTGGCATTTAGAGAACTGGGCTAGAATGGCGAGAATCGGACAGCGCTCAAGATAGCTCTGTGCAACAAAGCGTTTCCGTATGTCCTAAGAGCTACAGAATGTCTCACTACACATTTACATAGGTTAAAACTTGCCTATCGTGACCTGAGCCAAGATGCTAACTCCATTGACATATAAGCACAAAGCAGCTTGTACTGTTTTTAATCTATGACAAATTTTCTGGGTGCATAACTACCATGAAAACTGAGGGGCGCCTGGGTGGCTTAGTCGGTTAAGGGTCCGACTTTTGCTTGGGTCATGGTCTCGCGGTTCGTGAGTTCAAGCCCCGAGTCGGGCTCTGTGCTGACTGCCAGCTCAGAGCCTGGAGCCTACTTCAGAGTCTATCTTCCTCTCTCTCTGACCCTCCCCTTCTCACGCTGTCTCTCTCTCTCTACTAGAAATAAATAAAAATATATATATAAAAAAAAGAAAATTGAGGGAAGACTACACATTATAACTTAGAAATTTTACCAAGATCTGTCCATACGTTTGGAAAATCATATCATTGTCTGCAATGCCGCTCATGACCTTTGAATCACCAATACAGCACACCCAGATCAGGTGATACTGCTCTTACATGTATTGTGTATCATATACTACTTTACTTATTACATTATGGTGAATCTACATTAGGTGCAAGTGTCTGTTGACATTATTAATTCTCCTATCGCAACCCTACCACAGCATTTACACATTAAAAGTTACTATATGGTTATAAATGACTTTCTTTTATTTCTCTTTTAAACATTGTTAAGACATTATATTTATTTTTGAAGTCTTGCGTATATAGATTTTATTACTTGTGAATTTCATGTAAGGGGTTAAATATATTTGTTCTATTTCATGGAAAGGGGTTAAAAATATTTGTTATAAAACAGGGTGTTGGGCCTGATGGGGGGTTGAGCACCACCCACCTAACTCACTGGTTAGGCAATTAACTAGCCAAAGGGGTCAGTATCTGCAGAGGGAGCCATCGGGGCTACATACAGAAGTGGCTGGGATGAACGCATTCTTTTTTATGCTTACTATTTATAAACACTTTATTCTTGGAATTCAATTTAGAAATACCCTGAAGCAACTAGAATTGGCTCCAAAAAGTACTCCACATTGTATTATGAATAACCCCTGCATCAAATCAACAGCTTCTCCCCATGTGTCTTTCATGTTTGTTCTGTTCATTGGAGGTGAACCCCCGGAGAGGGGTTTGAATATGATTCTTTTTTGCTGAACAGTGAGTGGTGGCTTCTGAGCTGCTAGAAATTATGTGTTAATTCAAGAAAAAGTCTAGAAATCACGAGGGGGAAAAGCCCCATGTGATCCTTGACACCTAGAAAGGGCAATACAAAGAGAGAGAGAGAGAGAGAGAAACGTAACTTTCTCTGTTGAGCAAAATCACATTTTACTTACTATCAGTTTAATAATTTTAAATCACACACATTTTGCCTTCGAGTCCTCTCTAGTGCTTGAAGTTGGTACAATGTGTAATTAGAGTTAATTTTTGGCATGGTTCCTAGGTTGTTTGAAAATATATTTTGAGGAGCCAAATTTTAGGACTGGCATTGATTACAATGTGAACAATTAACTGCGTAGAATAACATAAATAAACCTGTATTCAGGCCATAGGTAATAAATCAGTGAGCCCGCTGATTAAACACACATCAGCATGTTGCTAGGTAGGTCAGATCAAAGAGCCTTCCTGCTCTCGAGGGGCCTTGGAGATTGAGAAAGACAACTCAGAATCCAAGGGCGCAGATGTGCGGGGTAGAACCTGCCCAGATCACAACAAGGGGCAGCAGGGTGCAGTGATTAGGATGTGGGTTCTGGAAGCCAGCCTGCCTACTTCAAATTCTAGCTTAGCCACGGATCACTGTGTGATTTTGAGCAAGTCCCTTAATCATTCTGTGTCCCCATTCCCTCACCTGTAAAGGAAGGCGGATGGTAACGATCATATCTACTTGGCAAGGTTGTTACGAGGAAGAACTATGTCACATAGCTAAAGTGTTCAGAACAGGGTTCTGGCATTTAGTGAGTGTCCCACAAACACTGCTAAATACGTTAAATTTAGCAGTTACCCGAATCAAATGCAAATACTCTAATAAGAAGGTTCCCAAATATCTGTCTAGGGACAAGTGTCTTGCCCTAAGGTGCAAACGCAGTGGCAATACTAGGCTCGAATTCAGATTGTACATGTATGTGTGCTGCTGGAGAGGAGATAATGATGAATATGGGAACACCAAAGCTCCGCCCCCTCCCCCCCCCATCTCCCAACCAGTGGTCACTTCACAGGACAGGGATTATACTGTGTTGACGTTAAATATGGGAGGGGGGGCAGCATGGTGAAAAGCTGGACCTGAAAGCCCCCAAACCACTTTGGGGCTGAGATATCTGCGACCAGCTGAGACAGGGAAGGCCTCTGTATCAGGTCGATCTGGTAGAAGTCCAAGTAAGAAAACGGAACTGGCTTCACCAAAAAGAGGCCCATCATTGAGTCTCATATCCAGGTTTAAATGGAAGTTGCCTTGGGGGTGCCTGGGAACAGGGCCCCAAGGCCCTCAAATTGTCCCTCTCCTCTCTACGCTTTGTTTTTCACTCCTCAGGCTTTATTCTCTCAATAGGCGAATGCACATGGCAGAGACTTGGTCCCAGCAGCTGCCACTCATGTCTTTACTGGCTCAGGCCATGGAGATGTTCCCCCCATAATCCTTGGAGGAATTGCCTGACAGGTCCTGAGTCACAGGAGCAAAGCAAAGCAGATCAATCTCTGGCATCTAAGCAGAGGCAACCCTCGTTTGGGTTTTCAGCGCTGGAGCTGGGAGGTGAATGTCAAACACATTTCCACCTTAGCTTCCACCTGCTTGAAGGGCAAAAGTGCTTCCTCCCTCAGTGTGTTGCTGAGCAGACTGAGCCAATAGGAGTTTTGTGGAGAGAGCACAAGGCTCGGGAGTCGCCCGCAGACAGCATCAGGACGGATGGGGGGCAGAAGGTCGAAGCCTGCAGCTGGAAGGAAGCTTTACTCTCTTGACTCCACCTCAGAGGTGTGGCCTCCAGTATTCTCTGTCCTGCCCTGGATGGAATGGCCACCTCCTGTTAGTCTGGGGAAATTAGCAGAATCAGAAGTCAGGAAGGCGTTTCTTTGTTTGTTAATGTCTTCTTTCTGACAAATCAAGACCCTGAAGACAGCCACAGGGGGCCCAGATTCAGGGACGAGTCACAGGCCAGCATGAGAAGCAGCCGGGCCCCATCGTCTCCAGCAGGAAGACACGCTCGGTGGTAATGGAAATGGCAGCCGGCAAAACACACCTGCAACCAGATATGCTAGAACAATTAGCAATCTCATTTGCCTTTTCCTCACACAATACCCACAGTTTATGCAGAATCTTTCCTAAGCCAGGGCAACTCCCAAACTTTCACCTTCTCTCTTCGGCCCTTCCTCATCTTCCCCAAGACACATCATGGGGTTTTCCCTTTGGCCCTGGTGTTGGGGTGGCTATGGCCTTGACTTGACTTGACTGGGTGTTTGGGCATTTCTTCTGGGACATAATCTAGACCTAAGCAATCAGTGAACACTCTGTATGGTCAGCCTCACTGGATGAGCCCTTCCCGGTGCAGGAGACCAATTCTGTTGCAGAAAAGAGTATTTCAAATTCTGCTTTTTGATCACGTGCAGCTTTCCACCTGAATGTGGCACATAGAAATGGAGCTTGAAAGCTTTTGGTCGGCATGTCTGGTGATGGGTTTCCTTGTAGAGAGCTCAAAACTCATTGGCTGGGAGGGAGAGGGGGAATAGAGACAGATAGATAGATAGATAGATAGATAGATAGATAGATAGATAGTAGGAGG